GATGAAGTCTGGGCCCTGCCCAGGCCCCCACTCCAGACATCAGAGTAACTTTTCCCCAGTGAAAGTCTGAACGACTGGCTCTCCGGCCTCAACCCTGCAGTGGCTGCCCACCGCCTTCAAAATGAAATCCATGTTCACCATCTTGATCTTTGGTGAAATGACTTCTGCAAGCCTCACCAGCCTCGTCTACTATTCCTCAGCTAGATACCACATGCTTATCGCTTATTCTTTTATTCGTGTGTCACTTTCCCTGATATCCTCACCCCAGAAATGTTCCCCTCTAGGCTGTGAAGCCCTCAAGAATAGGGACAATATATCAGTTTCCTCTGTAGTTGCCGTGCCTGACCTAACATGGACATCATAGGAATATTTCATAAATGAATGGATGAGTGTGAGATGAATAGATGGACGATGGATGACTAGTTAGAGAGGTGACTAGATGGATGGATTCGATCATCCAAAAAGTATTTATGTACCCATCAGGCTCTGTCCTAGATGCTGAGGAAACAGCAATGACAGAATAGACCAAGTCTATCTGTTACATTCTATCCCTGGGTAGATGGATGGATGGATGGATGGATGGATGGACGGACGGATGGATGGGCAGATGGATGGATGGACAGATGGATGAATGGCTGGATGGAGGGTAGCAGCACCAAGCTGGCTCATTCCTCCCTCAGGCTCATTTCTTCCCTATAAGGGATGGGAAGAGGTAAGAAAGTTATATTTTTGGCTGTTTTCCCCCAGAACCTGTTTCTCTCCTATGCTACTGGAGAAAAAAATTTAAATGGCAACCTATTAACAAAGAGTCCAGCAAGTAGAAGAACCCAAGGTAGTAGTGGAAATATTCAGAGGACTTGAAAGAAAGATTTCCCTAGAATCAGTCAAAACAGAGATCATTATTACCAACCCCCAAAGGAGACTTCACAGTGCCCTCTGCCCTGTGGCTAACTAGGGTCACGTATTCACTCATTTCTGCAACCACCCAGAGTACTTTCTCTTTCCAGGCACTTTTCATGGTGCAGGCTGCCTCGATGACAGGACAGAGTCCCTGTCCTCAGGAAATGTGTAATCGTGTGGAGGAAACAGACACACAAACACAGAAGTGCGACCCAGGGATGCAGGGGTGGAGGAGCGGAGCCGCTCTGTGGCCACCCTCGCGGTGAGAGGAGGGCTGGGTAGCCCAAGGTGGGTGGTTACCTCGCAACCTTTAGCCAGAGCAAAGCCGCCCCCTAGTAGCAGCACGATGCCCCAGGGCACTTTCTCCTGGGTCACCTTCCAATTCAGCAGTGCGGGGGGGTAAAACGGGGTCCTCCTTTCTGAGAAGAAACAATAAACACGCACATACATGACCCAGAACAGCATCAGAAAATGAGAGATCAAATCAGGGGGAATAAAAGCAAAGAAGGTGAGTACCATCTCATAGCTGTAAATTGGCTAAAATAATAAGAATTTAAATTCTAATAATTTAAATAATAATCTGCAATTACTGAACTCCACACTGGTGAAGATACAGTAAATCTATCACATACTCTTAGTAGCATTGTAAATTGGCACACTCTTTTAGAAAATCAACTTGGCAATAGGTTTTATGAGCCATTAAATTATAATACTCTTTTATCCCAGGAACATCATTCCTAAAATTTATCCTAAAGGAGAAACATCATCAAAGACAGGTTCTATATATGAAAACATTAATTCATAATAATGAAAAATTCAAAACAGCCAGAACATTCCATAACAGGAGAATGGTTACAGTCCTTCAATGCAATATAATGCCATTATTAAAGAAAATAAATTTGAAGACTATGGCAATAGCAGGAAATGTTTATAGTGTAACCCCCTGCAAAAAAAACCCACATGAAAACAGAGCATCAAAGAAACAGAGTCCCAATTGTATGTTAGGATTATAGCCCTATAATATTTATGCATATTACAAACCCTGGAAGAGAGACACACAAAATGTACCAATGGCATTTGGGGAATCATGAAACATTTTTCTGTTCCTATTATAATATAAATAAGATTCCAAATGTTTAAAAAGCAAAAAAGAGATTTTGTCCCAAATATTCTGGGAAGGCTTGCGAAACCCCCTCTGCCCAGACCTCCGTAATAGGGTAGGATTTTCTCCCTCCTGTGCCAGGGAACCCCTGGAGATCCTTTGCTGCCCTGAAAAATGGGAGGCGAGAACTGGAGCCTTACCTTCCTCAGTCTGGCTGCCAAAGTTAAACTTGGGCTTCTGAGAAGGCACAATGAATAGCAAGATGGCCACAAAGATAGCCGCAGTGGCGTCAGAGGCGTACCTTGGTGGGGAAGAGCACACAGGGTTAGCCTCTTCGGTGTCTCCGTTGCTCCCACATGAGAAGACACACTCAGCAGAGTCTGAAAACTGGAACCTCAAAGGCCGAGACCAGGAGTGTGTTAGACCGAATGTTGGCTGGAAACCGAGACACCCACATTTTTGGCCTGGCTCTGCAGCCAATGCCGGGTGACCTTGAGTAGCTCACTTCCCACTCACAGCCTGTGTTGTTCCATGTTTGTGCCCTCTTCCCGAGCAGATTGTCTAGTGTGCTGGGTCACCAGGGTGACCACAGCACTAACCCTTCGGTGCTACCTGCAGCAGACCGTTGATATGGAATAGACAGTAACATACCCTACCCACCTCTCCTGCCTTTTCAAGGTCACACATGCCTCTCAACCTGTATTTCACTCTGACCTCATGGCATCTTATCTAGAAGAGAAACTACGTATATCCCCTTTTGCCAAGTCTCTGTCTGAAGAAACATCTGGACCCCAGAATGTGTCCTCAGGGGGACTTGCCCAGACCGGAACAAGGATGGAAAAGGGAAGGTGGTGGAGCAGAGACTTGCAAACCAGAGCCCGTTTCATCTCTCTACCACAGCCCTGGCCAGGCACTTCCTGCTCAGTCCAGTAGGGTAGGAAGTGCCACAGGAACACACACCTATGGGCTTGTCATGAAGATTGGGAAGGAAAAGATGAGTCCTTAACCCATAGAGCACTCCAGAACTCAACTACAGAACAGAGGAAGGTGCCGTAGAGCCAAGGACTTACTTTGTTTCGCCTTCCGCCCAGGCAACTGACAGCCAGCCGGGCATGAAGCCGGGGTCCCTGGAGAACCACAGGCCGACCAGCAGGAGAAAGCAGAGCAGGACATTGACCTCGGCGAAGGAGAAGGGCCCCAGCTTCCTAAGCCTTACCTTCCTCAGTCTGGCTGCCAAAGTTAAACTTGGGCTTCTGAGAAGGCACAATGAATAGCAAGATGGCCACAAAGATAGCCGCAGTGGCGTCAGAGGCGTACCTTGGTGGGGAAGAGCACACAGGGTTAGCCTCTTCGGTGTCTCCGTTGCTCCCACATGAGAAGACACACTCAGCAGAGTCCGAAAACTGGAACCTCAAAGGCCGAGACCAGGAGTGTGTTAGACCGAATGTTGGCTGGAAACCGAGACACCCACATTTTTGGCCTGGCTCTGCAGCCAATGCCGGGTGACCTTGAGTAGCTCACTTCCCACTCACAGCCTGTGTTGTTCCATGTTTGTGCCCTCTTCCCGAGCAGATTGTCTAGTGTGCTGGGTCACCAGGGTGACCACAGCACTAACCCTTCGGTGCTACCTGCAGCAGACCGTTGATATGGAATAGACAGTAACATACCCTACCCACCTCTCCTGCCTTTTCAAGGTCACACATGCCTCTCAACCTGTATTTCACTCTGACCTCATGGCATCTTATCTAGAAGAGAAACTACGTATATCCCCTTTTGCCAAGTCTCTGTCTGAAGAAACATCTGGACCCCAGAATGTGTCCTCAGGGGGACTTGCCCAGACCGGAACAAGGATGGAAAAGGGAAGGTGGTGGAGCAGAGACTTGCAAACCAGAGCCCGTTTCATCTCTCTACCACAGCCCTGGCCAGGCACTTCCTGCTCAGTCCAGTAGGGTAGGAAGTGCCACAGGAACACACACCTATGGGCTTGTCATGAAGATTGGGAAGGAAAAGATGAGTCCTTAACCCATAGAGCACTCCAGAACTCAACTACAGAACAGAGGAAGGTGCCGTAGAGCCAAGGACTTACTTTGTTTCGCCTTCCGCCCAGGCAACTGACAGCCAGCCGGGCATGAAGCCGGGGTCCCTGGAGAACCACAGGCCGACCAGCAGGAGAAAGCAGAGCAGGACATTGACCTCGGCGAAGGAGAAGGGCCCCAGCTTCCTATACTCCTCCCGCAGCACCTCATACGCAGCCTGCTCGTTATTCTTCCTCTCCAGCCCGCATCCCCAGGACTTTTTAAAACTAGAGGATGCAAAGAGGAAAGACCAGTGGGCCAGGCTGGCTGGCTCAGGGGCTAGTCAGATGGAGGCCTGAACATTGGGCAGCAGAACATGGCAGAAAGATATTTGGTGTCACCTGCAGGACCTTGAGAAGGTCCCTTCCCCACTGCTGTTGCTGCGTGCACTACCTCACAGGTCATGGTGGGGAAGATCTTGCTCTGCATGCCCAGTGCATGCCCCAGGGAGCCCCAGAACTGGAGGACACTCCCAGAGGATGCCTGAGATGGCACCGCTGGGGTGGTCAGTCTGGCCAGTGCAGGACCGTGTCTCAGGGACAGTGGAGGCAGGAAAGTGGAGGACAGCCAGGAGGGTGGGAGGCTGAGCAGAATGGTGGAGGGTGGAAAAGCAGGGACAGGAATGTAGGAGGCCCACTTTCCGGGAGGCGTGGCGGGTGCCCAGTCGCCTGGGGTCTACCTGCTCCTGTTGTAGTGGGGAAGGCCATGAGGGGTCCTGGCACCGACTCCAGCAGGGCCGGTCCCCCTCACATGCTCCCCGAGTCTCCCTCTCACCCGCTGCAGCCTGGCGCTGCCTTCCCTGGTGCTGAGACACAAGACCCCGTCTCCGGGGCAGCCCAAGAGGACACATGGAACAAAGATGGGTCCACGCAGGAAGCAAGCCAATCCGGACCTTGCTCTTAGGTAGGTCCCCTAGAGACCAGCACCCACTGGCCAACACAGCCTGCCAAGTGCCCTGCAGGACCCCCCCAGGGGCGCTAACATGAGGGAACGGGGAGGAGGAGGGCTCCTTGGAGGTGTAGGGAGCACCTCAGTCATGGGGAGGGGCTACCTGGGGCACAAGACGCAGGCCCGGAGGGATTCTCTGAGGATGCCATTCACACATTCCAGCCCCTCTCAGCCTGAAGGCTGGGCGACGCTTAGAGAATTGGCCGGAGAAGTCCTCCTTAGGGCTGAGGCCCTGAGACACACTTCACAGGAGGGCAGGGGTTGATGGAATAGGTGTTGAGATGCCAATTCCTGAAGCCTTTGAGAGGGTGAAGCCCAGACCAGTGATGAGGCACAGGACAGGGGGACTTCAGGTCCTCAGGGTGTAGGAAATGAGGTGGCGGTGACATTCCAGGGCTGGCCACAGACTCCAGGTTTCTAGGGTAAGGGTGACTCTGGTGCTCCTAGCTGACCAGCCCATGCCTGCTGAGGGCAGCACGTCCCAGTGCCACGTTGGCTGCAGACTCTGGGGCTGCATGGGAAATGCAGTTGTTCTGGGTTCTACCTGCCCCTCCCACAGTGGTGCCAACAAGCCTCAGGACCCTCTTACGCCAAGCAGTTTCACACTCATCACTGGATTCATCCTGTCTGGTGGCCACTGAGCTGGTATGAGATGCGGGCCCATAGGTCCAGTTTGTCGGTGGGCAGGGGTGGGGCGGGGGGCGGGTGGTGCAGGGTGTCTTTCTGCAATGGAATGGCCAGCACAGGGCTGATGAACTGGGTGAGTACAGAGCTGAGGCGAGGCCAAGGGACCCCTGACTGTCTCTCCATGGCAGGGGTGTAGAAGAGCCATCATCTCTAAGCCAGGGGTGAGCGTGGTTAGGAAGGTTAAGCCAGTAATAGTATCCCATTAGTCTTGGGGGATCCTGGGGGTTCTATGGCACCCTGGGCTGAATGTGGCCTAGGAAGTCACCCATAAACTCAGGAAAAGCAGTTTTCTGGATTAGGCTAGAGGCAGTGACCCTGACATTGCTCCCTGACCATCTAGGTGAGGGCTTCAGCAAGAGCAACAGTAGAGGTGCTTCCCACAGCTGCGATGGGTGCTGCCTTGTGGCAGGGGAGGTGGTCCAGGAGGTCTGGAGGCAGGAGCACTAGGTCCTGGTATCTGGCAGGATGTGGCCTGGGCCGGGGAGAGTCCCCTGCTGTTCCTGTCGTTCATGCTGAATGTAAAAAACTGTCCAAACAGGACAACCTATGAGCCACCCCACCCACCACCCTCCAAGTCTGGTTGGCAAGGGCCCTGAGCTAAAGAGGCATGCTGGGAAGGGGTGGTGGGCCTTGGGCCATGTGGCAGCCCTGAACCCAACCACAGGCAGAGTCCAGAGGCCTCCAAGCTGTGCTAGGCTGGGTTAACCACAGCTCAGGTTATGGGCCATGAGTCCCCAGGGGCCTGGCATCCACCTCTGGAGGCTGGCAGTGCCCTCGTTGCTTTGAGGCTAGGCCAGTTCCCCTCTGCTTGCTCTTCCAGGGACCTCAGGATACCTCACAGCTTCAGGGCAGGCCTCTCTCAGCTGAGGGGAAGCTGAACTGGTACCCCTGACACGTGGCTGCACCTGGGCCTCGAGGCCATCAAGAGCAGCAGCCCTTGATGCAAACTGGTATGGATTGACTTGTGTCCCCAAAAATTCCTATGTTGAAGCCCTAATCCCCATGTGACAGTGTTAGGAGGTAGGGCCTTTGGAGGTGATTAGGTTTAGGTAAGGTCAGGGGGCCCCATGAGGGGATTCATGCCCTCATAAGAAGATAAAGAGATGGACAGTGACTGCTTTGGGGTATGGGTGGGGACTTGATAATATGGGTAAATATAGTAACAGTATTGTTTTTTCATGTGAAACCTTCATAAGAGTGTATATCAATTGTACCTTAATAAAAAATTTTAAAAAAAAAGAAGCCTCCCGTGCTGCCTGCTTTTGGCCTACTGAACTGAATGCCCACCTGCCCTGCTTATGTGGTGGTGCAGAGAGCACCTTGCTCTGCCTCTTCTTCCCCTGAGGAGAGGCAGTAGACAAAAGAAAAAAGAAGATAAAGAGACCAGAGCTCGCCCACTCTCCCTCTCTCCCCGACGTGAGGGCAGAGTGAGAAGGCTGTCTTCTATGAGCCAAGAAGTGAGGTCTCACTAGGAACCAGACCTGCCAAGCACCTTGACCTTGGGCTGCCAGCCTCCAGACTGTGAGAAATAAATGTCTGGTGAAGCCGCCTGGTCTGTGGTATTGTTATGACAGCCTGAGCCAGCTGAGAGGGATGTGGGGTACCCGGCACAGGCTCCAGAGGCCAACTGCCTGGGTTTACATCTCAGTCCCACGACTTTCAAGTCATACAACCTTGCACAGGCCACTTAACTTCTCCACGCCTCAGTTGCCTTTCCTGGAAATTGGGAATAATAAGAACACCTACTTCAAAGATCAGTGTGAAGATTAATTAATAGACATGGAGTGCTTAAGATCACATCTGTCCCTTAATAAACACTCAGTAAATATTGGTTGTTATTACCATTGCTGGAGAAGGAGACACAGATGTCCACTTGCAGACTGGACCAGGTCAGGGACAGGTCCCCTGGGGCTGGCTGGCTGGCTGTGCACAAGTGAGCAGGACTGGAGCCCATGGGAGAAGCAGGGCAAAGAGCTGCAGCTCCCCCTGCACATGGGGCCTGCACACAGGTGGGGCAGGGGTGGCATACGAGGGATGCCCCCTACTATATTACATTATTAGGACTGCTCTGATTATACATGGATATTTTTCAACAGCAGTTTTCAAAACAGTCCTCCTTCAACAGAAAACTTACAAAAATGCCCCATTTCTCCATTAAATCACAGGTTTTCGGGGCACATTTGCCTCCTCTCAGCTCCGGGGCCTCCCCCCTCTGGCTGTCCAGCCCCTGGTTTTCACTTGGCTCCAGCTCCCTATGAAGGAAAGCACAGAGCACACAGCTCACAGACCCCAGCAGGAGAGGGTCACCTTTGCACCACAGATAAATGCGTGTCTTTAAAAATCACAACTTTTTTAAGGTAATTTGTCAGCTGTACATGATGGTTTCTGTCCAAAATCTGGCTGCTGTCAAGATGTACTCTTGATGAACTTGCCTGTGTGTTGGGAAGAGGAAGGTAAACTTTCCAGAATCTGGCATGCCGCTGGGAACCTTGTAGGCATTTGGTGAAGGTCTGGATTTGGACCGTCTGGTCATTATCAGGCGGGTCTGCTGGGACCTGGCCCAATGGGCATGTGCAGCCAAGTGGAAGTTTGTCCAGCAGTGTCACTTTGCACATAGGGACAAGCTTCTCTGTAATGGCTTTGGCTCATGCTGGTGGCACACCTGCTCCTTCTGCCTGGGTGGGAAGCCAGGCTGAGTCAGGGGACAGAGAGGACTTACGCAGGCACTAAGGAGCAGAGGGGCAGCACTGGAATGTGACTCCAGGTGCCGAGAGACAGGCTGTGGTTTGCCCAGGGAAGCCCAGAGGAGTGGGCAAGCAATTCTTCCAAGGTGGAATGGGGGTGGGGAAGGTCAGGAAGGGTGTGAACAAAGCAGCGTCTGAGCTGCCCTCGGACACTGAGGAGGTCAGGAGGTAGGAAGGCAGGGAATGGCATTCCAGGAAGAGTGAACAGTAGGCACAAAGGTATGAGGAGCAGTCTGGGGTGGCCAGAATGGGAAAGCAGACTCCTAGGAGATGGGGCTAAAGATATAGTCAGGGCCAAACAGGAAGAACTCTGTAGACTTGCCTACTGAGTCTGAGGGTGCTTCTGCAGGGGTGTGTCACGATTAAACTCTTCATTCCATAAGCAGCTCAAACTTACTCGAATCTCATATAAATACACTGGAGCCACAACCAGGCGAGCAGCAGCATTATCAGCATGTTGGGGAAGGCAAATCCAAACCAAGAGGCGAAGTTCACGATGTCCTTGCTGTCAGGAAACAATCTGAAGGGAAAAATACTGGTCCACATCCCTACCGGATGCTGAGCTGTGGAGAGTGGGCCAGGCCCTGTGGGGGGAGGCTGAGCAGCATCTGGCCCCTGAGAGATGGGCCGGGGGAGGCAGGGCCCTCATCCTCCTGAGGTCCAGCCACCCAAGCCCATCACCCAGCATTCCACCCAATCAGGTGGGAGCCTCAGAGCATGACCACTCACAAGACCAGCCTGAGGAGTGACCAGCTGACCCTCCTGTGGGTACAGACCCTGCTGAGAATCTTGCGAACGTCATGGCTCTGCCAGAAAAATTTATCTTTGTATGCAGGTTATCTGGCCAACAACTTCAGGGGGTCCATTATACCTCAGAACCCTCACCCTGTGGGTTTCTGCAAGGGAAGGGCACCCCGAGGAAAGCAACTCTCAGAAGTTTCCCACAGTTGCTGGGAAGGAGGAGGGTCACTTCCGCTCCAGGCCCCAAAAAACATTTGCAGGATCAAAGATCTCAAGTATCTGGCTAGCCAGCCTCCAAGCCTGGTCTTCCCAACCTCCCAGCTGCCTTCCTCACCCTTGTCCAGGGCTCTTCTCTGCATAGGATGGGCACCATCATCCTGTTCCTTCCTTCTGTGCCCACTGCACTTTGGCCTTACCTTCATTAGTGCATTTTCCAAACCCACTTCGGGCTCTCCAGGGGTATACTACCCTCAGCTGACCACGAGTAGCCCCTGGGCAGGGCCCAGGTTCTCTTACCTCCGTGATCTCAGCCCCACCTGGCCAGGCCAGGCACAGAACTGGGGTCCTCAAGGCCTGTGCCCATTGGTGACCAAGGCTGGAAGGTTCCACACCACCCCTGTGGTTCACCTGGGGCCTCACAAGGGCACATGTCACCTCAAGGGCAATTAGAGGGACTACAGTGGATGAGCTGATGAGGCAATGAGTGACCTAACCTCTAACCCTTCTCCCATATCCTAGGACAAACCATCACCTTCAACAACTAAGGTCATGGAGCCAGCCTTCAGGGCAGTGTCTTCAGGGGTGTCTATGGGTCCACGTTTTAACCAAGGACCCAGCATCTCAGACTACATTGTCATTTCCCACGATTTTAGCTCAGAGTTCAATCCACATTCCCTGCCAGAGAGAGCATTCTAAGCCCAGGAAAGAAAGGTGGGGCTTGCCCCAGAGCAGCAAGCAGCCAGGTCTGTGGACACTAGCTCCCACCCCTTGGGGGCCCTGAGCCGGTGCAGGGGAGCCGGGACACAAGGCTGATGGGGGCACATCCTCCCACCCTTTCCCCCCAGACCCCCAGCTCCAGACCCAGCTGAGGAGGAGGGAGTAGCGGGAGGCCCTCCAGCCCCAGGCCCCACAGTACTGTCCCCAGAGGCATGGCCCGTAACTCACTCGTGCATCTGGCCCAGGAGCACCACGTTGGGCCCCGTCCCAGTCAGGGTGGCCGTGCCTCCGATGCTGGCCGCGTAGCACACGCACAGGGTCATGGCCTTGCACATGCTCTTCCTATCACGGTCCTCCTGCTGCCCCATAGCAGGGCCTTCAAAAATCACGGGGCTCCCTATGAGAGGCACACCACCATGAGCTGAGCCTGTCCTGGGGCCGCCTGCCCAGCTGCATCTCCTGACCCTGCTGCGGACCTGAGGACTGGGACACGCCAGCAGTACTGCCCCCTCCAGGGGTTTTCCCAGCCTCCAGCCCAAAGTTGTAGCCTGGCCCCTACTTCCCCACAGCGTGTCCCCAGGGCCCTGGGCTTCTCAATGCTCCATGCAAATCCAGCAGCTTCAGACACACCCCTTTTTCCTGCTGCCCTGCTCAAACTGTTCCCTCCCTGGGGGTGGGGGGAGGCATATCAGGATTCTCTCACCAAGGCCTCCCTCTTCTCAATGTCTGGCTTATGGCATCCCTCAGCTTTCCCAAGTCAGGGGAACTGTGTGAGGGGCCTCGTTACTCCCCCCCACTGGGCCCTGTGAGTCTGCAGGGTGAGTGGGCCTGCTTCATCCCCAGAGCCCCAGGACCCAGCCTAGGTCTGGCAGTCAGGACATCATCCTGGGCCTTGGGCCCCACTGTGCGGGGCCCTGGGATGGGCTGCGAAGGAAGTAGAAAACAGAACAGGCACCCTCTGACTTCCCTGAGCTCGGCACCTAGAGGGACAACCAGCTCTAGTGCTGGCAGAGCAATGAGCAGAGGCATCTGACCCACCCAGAGATGAGTAGGAGTGTCAGGGAGTGAGGGGCACCCTGTAGAGGCTCAAAAGATGCCCAAATAAATAATCAAATGAACACATATTGATAGCAGTGATTGGCGGAAACCAAGGGTGGGAGCTTACTATAAGAATCTAACTTTTATGCAATAACCACATTCCTAAAACTTATAAAAACAGTATTTTCTAAGTATTTCTCTCTATATAAAGGAGGGCTCCAGGAAGCAGGGACGTGGCCAAAGCTTTGGCACCAGAGGGGAAGGCGGACATTATGGCCCCATGCAGCGCCTTGGCCAGGGGCTCACCTGGCAGCTCGCTGGCCTTGCCTTTGTCCACCAGCTCCAGGGCCCCCAGGCCAGCCTCTGTGGCTGCGGTGGTGGCCTCCATCTGCTGCAGCATGGCCTCCACAATAGGCACCATCATGGCCGTGGTGGCCGTGTTGCTGATCCACATGGAGAGAAAGGCGGTGATACCCATGAAGCCCAGCATCAGCCTGTAGAGAGGCAGGGAGGAAGCCAGAGAACGTCCCATCCGTGGCACCGGCCCCTTGGGAGCAACAGGGGGCTAGGCCAGTGCGAGACTGGGTGACCTAGGAGGGGTTAGAGTTTCAGTGCCTCCTTCCCTCCCCGTTCCCTTCCTTCTGCCTCTCTCCCACAGGCATTACTGTTGTCGGGTCTGCTGGCTACGGGGTCACCAAGAGGCCTCAGACTCAGTCCTGGTTCAGAGCAGCTCCCTGTCTAGTAAGAGAAGCACCAGGACCCAGATGGTGCCGAGCCAGTGTGGAGAGTTGGCCTAGTAAAGCCTAGGGGTGTGCGGGAGCAGCCCTGTGTGCAGGTAGCCCCAGCTTCCCACTTCCGTGCTTCTCCTCTCTGTGTTCAGTCAGCTTGCAGGGGTAGGGTGAGCTGGGAGGGGCCTGGGGAAGTGCGACCTCCCTATGGCTGACCCTGAACCACTCTCCATTCACACACTTTGTCCCTTCCACTCTGCGGTGAACCAGATTAACAAACAGTATTCAGAACACATGTTGCCTTCGCGTATAACACCCAGTCTGCCACCTCTGTCCCATCTCTGTCACCTGCCTAGAAAACTCCTCACAGTGGTTCAAACCTCCCTGATACCATTTCGTCTCTGTGGCCCCCTTCCCAGCGCACACCAGGGAGGGCTGACCACACCCTCCTCCATCCTCCCTCGGACACTCATCCTTGGCACAATTTGGAGCAACTGCTTTCATGTCTGCTCTCTCCTTAGACCATGAGTAGGGAAGGGTCTGGTTCTTTCCATGGCTCCCCCAGCACACGGCCAGGAACAGGGGCTCAGTGAGGGCTGGCTGAACGGAGCTTTGCTGCTCTGGGTCCCCATGCCCGGCTGCAGTCAGGCTCCTCCTCAGGGTCACTGATGTGCCTGAAGAAGGGATCTAGTGGCTACAGTGCACCAAGGTTCAAACTGGTGTCCAGGCAGGTATACCTCACTGGCCCATAAGAACAAAGACTAGGATCCAGGCTGAGAGGAGGGCCAGAGTTTCTGTGAATGAGGCTTTGACGTGATGCTTCAGGACACCAAGGGGGCCTCGACATCAAGGTCACTCCCGGGATGGGCAGTGATATGGACAGCTGGAAGCCAAGTTCAGAGGAGCCAGGTGGCAGGACAGAGCAGAGACACAGGTGTGAACCTCCTGGGTGCAGGAGCAGAAGCTGCCCAGCACACTCCAGAATGAGGCCCACTGCTGATGAAGAAAAGCTGGCCTCTGAAAAGATCCTAAGAACAAGAATTCTGAGGACCCTGAAGTCTCATATTTCTAGAAAATGCAATGGCTTTTGATGTGACTCTGTAAACTGATCGTAGGAAGGGCCTGATGTCACAAAAGGTAACAGCGATCAGCCAGTCACAGCGCCTCTACTCAAGGGAGCCTGAGTGCCAGGGGAACTCTGACACTGGTCTCCTGGCGGGTGGGCCAGGTCTGCGTGTGCCCATGGCACAGCACAGTTCCAACGTGTGCCATCTCAGGAGGGATCTACTGTGAGCTAACCAACTGCTGCCTTCCCAGGGCTGGGCTGGTTCCCGATTAGAGGGGCAAAGCCTCAACGAGCAGGCCAGGTCCCACCCCCATGTGATGGTCCGCAAATCATTTAACGCCTCTGCCTCAGATTCTTCATGTTCAGAACTTGGGTGGCAAGAATAATATCCAACCCTCAGAATTGCGGTGAGAGCTAAATGAAGTGACAAATAAGCCCCTGGGGTTATGCCTGAGGCACGCAGATGCTCAGTATACCGAGGTGATTCTGCCTGTAACAGCTCCGTGCCTTGGCTGGAAGTGGCCTGTGTCAGGTAGGGGTGATCTTGGAGAGGAGGTGGGAAGCTGAGGTACTGAGTGGTGTGCTAAGATGAGGTAAGTAGCTTCTTTGCAGAGGGAGTAGATGTGCCAGCCTGGGAGGGATGACCTTTCTGCTTCCCCCTGAGCTGGGTAGTTGAAACACCTCTTTCCTGCTTTCCCCACAAAACCCCTAGGGGTATCAGGCACAGCTTGCTCCAGCCTCCACCCACTGTGTTCCCTGCAGAACCCCGCAGCTCCTCCCCTGGGAAGTCTTCTGAACATGCAGGGAACCCTGATGACCAGTCTCCTCTGGATTCAGAGAACCCTTACCCACTGCTGCCCACTGCACCTCATCCAACCTGCCATGCATCTGGTCTCCCCGGCTAAACTTGCCACATGTCCCACCAGGGATCTGCCTGCCTGCGAAGCCCAGGTAAGCCCAAGGCTAGGCCTTGCCTGTGGGTGAGCCAGTCTCTGTCACACCCCCTTACTGTCCCTGAGGCCCATGCAGAGCCCTGTGGCAAGAGAGAGAAGGTATAATTACTGTGCGGGCTTGGCCCCCACCCAGAGGAGCGTGCGCAGGGCGATCCTCTTGTGCAAGTTCCAGCGTTCCACAGCCACAGCCACGATGAGGCCACCCAGGAACAGCATGTTGGTGTCCTTCATGTACTGGACACACACCTGGAGGTGGCATGGAGGCTCTGTCAGGGTCGCCCCCCAGGGCCACCCACATCCCCAGAGACACTGAGCAGCCCAGATGCCAATTTCAGGGACAGCTTGGAGTGGGGATGGAGGGTCAAGTGGTATGTCTCCGGGCCAGAGAGAACCCCCAAGAGGGCTTCTCTGGTCTCCCGAGGCCTAGACAGCATGGTGAGGGGCTTGGAGAATGAACTAATGGGAGAAGCAGGAAGCCACTGGGTCCTCTGGGTCTGCTCACCTGCTTGGAGTCCAGAATCTTAAAGAGTGGGAAGAGCAAGGCAGGCAGGAGGGAGGTGACAGCCAGAGGGATGACTTCTGTGCACCAGTAAACAGCCATGAGGATGATGACATAGGCACACCTGACAAGCTGAAGAAACAGCCCTGAGGCCCCGGCCTGTGGCCACCCCCCACCCACAGCACTGGGCACAGGGCTGCCAGAGCAGGGCAGTCCTATGGGAGGGCATCCCCTCGGGGCTGCCTGCCTCCATGCCCCAGTCAGCACAGCCCTCCAGGCTTGGGACAGTGTGGAGGGTGCGGGACCCTTCACCGAGAGGCTCCTGGCCCCTCCTCCCAGTGTGCAGTCCTGGGCAAGACCGTTCACCTGCCAAGCCTTGCATCTGTCACCTCTCCACGGGAAAGACTTAGCCACGGTGCCAAAGCGATACACGTGCAATTGAAACTGTACTTACTTCATTTTTTGAATTTTGATCTTTTCCCTAACTAGTGACATGAGGTACAAAACTCTCGTGATGCTGGGCATCAAGCCGCAGCTCCCAGTCAGCCACTCGATCACGAGGGTCAACAACCGACATGCTTACCACTGTACTGTTTTTCACCTTCAGCACAGTATTCAATAAATGACATGAGATATTCAACACTTTATTATAAAGTAGGTTTTTGGTTAGATGGTGTGGCCCAACTGCAGACTAATGGAAGTGTCCTGAGCACATTTAAGGTGAGCTGGGCTAAGCAGTGATGGTCAGGAGAACAGGTGTATAAAACGCATTTTTGATTTATGGTATTTTCAACTAGTGATGGGTTTATTAGATAGTAACCCTGTTGCAAGTAGAGGAAGATCTGGACTGTTTCAATGACCCACTCAAGGAATTCAACAAAATTATTTTGCAAAGCAAGTGCAATTTTATCCATGTTATTTTTCATAAGACTATATAATCTTCACATTGAACATTTTAAAAACTGAAAATATTCCATAAATTTGATAGATCATTTCACTTCTCCATTGACCACCTGCAAGAGAAGAAACACTGTTTCTTTTCTGCCATCAAAAGGATGCTGTGATCACCCCACTATATTCTGCTTACCTATTTTAAGTTAGGAGAGGCTCCCTGCAGTACATCCTCAAACTCCTGGTATCTGTTCCTAATTTCCTTCTCAAAAGGCTGTTCTAACTTTCCCTGCTTCCAGAAATGTGTGTTGTGAACCAGCTCATTCAGAAAATCACCTGCAGTGAGGGTTTTCTGGGCTGTTTTTTTATTAAAAATCGAGAAGACGGTATTCGGTGCTTTCATTAGTGTCTCTCTAGTTACAAAGGTCTCAAGCTTTACTATTGGTAGTTAATATTATGTGAACTGTCTACTCATGTCCTTTAGCCACTTACCCCCTGGGCCCTTTACCACCACCCCCCAACCGGCTGCAGGATTGTGGGTGAATAATTTAACCTCTTCAGCCCTCAATTTCATCACCTATTAAAATGAAGGTAATGTACCCACCTCCCTAGGCTGTTTTGTGTTTCATCAGCATTTTTACTGTACTCATTATTAACCCCTCAGACTCTGCCCTCTCCCTCCCTTCAGCCTCCTCCAATTAAATCAGCCACCAACTCCGACAGCCTCTGCCCCTTCATTCTCCGACCTCTTCCCCCTCCTGCCTTTACCCGGTGGCCCCTGCCTGCGATCAGGCCACACCTCCTCCCGCCTGGATCTCTGCAATGATCCTTTGATTTCATCTTTGTACTTGCATCTCTCCACCCTGCTGCTGCTGCCTCTCTCAACTTTGCAAATGGATTCTATCACTCCAGTATTGAAAATCCTTCAGAATAAAACCCAGTGCCTTAGCATAACTTAGGAGCTCTTCTGCGATGGAGAGGCCCTCAGACCCCTCCGGCTCCATCTTCCTGCCCACTACCCCGAAGCACTGGCAGGAACAGCCCAGAGCTCTGCCCCTCCCAGCTTCCTTCTCTTGCCCACACCGCCCCCCCTGGCCAGGAGTCAGTGCTCATCACTCAGCTCCACGCCTCCCCTCGGGCCCCTCCCTCACCCCCTCCCCAGGCTGGGTCTGTGCCCCTCTCCTTGGCCCTCCCGGCAATTTGCCTCTGGGTTGTCATTGTTTCCCCACCACCACTGAAAAGGAACAGTGAGCAATTTGAGGGCAGAACCAGTGCTTGTAGATTCACTGTATCTCAACACCCAGCACAGGCCTGACACTCAGGAGACGCTCAGCAAATGCTTCTCAGTGAACTGGACTAGCACACTGCGAGCTATGCCATGGCAATGGAGAACCACACCTAGGCACTATCACTGTCTGCTGTTGCCCAAGAAAATGCGTGTTATACATGTGAAATATTGCAAGAAGACTCAGAAATTCTTTGTCTGGATTGTGTAACCAGGCATAAAAAGTAAATCTCCCTTCGGCATCCCCTGAGCACCTGAGGGTGCTTCCCTGCTGTCTAAAGCAGGGTTTCTCAGCCGCTGCATTATTAACACTTGGGGTCTGAGGACTTTGTTCGGGACTTTTCCACGTGTTGCAGAATGTCTGGAAGTGTTCCTGGCCTCCACCCACTAGATGCCAGTAGCATTCTCCTTGTTGTGGCAACAAAAAAATGTCTCCAGACTTTACCAGATGTCCTCTTGCTGGGGGGATCACGGTATCAGTGCTGGTTGAAGCCCCTGAACTCACAGTAGGACAACAGTGTGGTCAGAAGCCCAGGCTTGTAGCCAGGCACCCTGAGCAGTACCCACTGTCTGCTGTGGGCTGGCCTTCAGCAGTCACTGACTTCTCTGGGCCTTGGTGCCAGCGGGGAGAGAGGTAGGCGTGATTGTCCAGGGCAGGCAATACAGGGGTGCATTGTAGAGAATTTAAAGACAGCAACACTGTCTAAAATTCAGTCCCCTTCTTATCATCATGTCATAGCAATTCTCAACAGTGTCGTTGATAAAATGCTCCCACTCCTAACACTGGTACCTCTCCCTGCTTGTTTCATGACCTCACCAGTAAATGGAGAATTTAAGGGTACCCTTTCTTAACATACAGCGTACAGAAAGTGCTTGGTAATTTTCTATTATCTAGACTTAGAAACAGCAGACGGCATGTGTGACCAATTTTCACATCACAGTTTCTGGAGGCACCAAATGTAACCTACAGAAAAGACCCATGGCTGATTGCCCCCTCACCTCCATGCCGCTATTAGGAGGCCCAGGAGATGCCCCAGCCCTGAATAATGTCTGCAAACTTGGCCGTCCCTTGTCTACAATGCTCCCACAGTGATAGTGGAAAAAGGAAAATAGGACGGGTGATGTTAGAGAAGTCTCGGGAAGTGGCGGTAATTATAGAATGGGATGGATTCTACCTGCAAAGAGGAGCCTGGCTTCCTGGGGTAAGTTCAGAGCATTTCCCTGCAGCTGAAAATGTGGCTAGAAGAGCATTTACAGGCAGACAAGACAAAAGTGGACAGTGAGATTTAAAATTTAGCTCTCAGCACAGTCAGTGCCAGGCACATAGTGGGAATCAAAAAAAATGTATGTTAATTGCACAACTGAATAAAATCGTGGCTCATTATTTATATAATTATTAACAAGTGACATGTCGCTTCATGAAAAAAATGTAGGTAAGAGAATATAATTTGTTGTGATGGATGTGTTACGGGATTTGAGTGTATTTGCATTTTCTTATCTGCACTTTATACTTTACAGACTTTAAAACTAAGAATTTTAAAATTTTAATAAAGTAAGTAATACAATGAATGTATTCTTTAGTTCATTAAAAAGCTATTTTCTAAGGAGGACCCAGAGAAAGGGCTGAAGAAATGGAGCAGAGATGAAGCCAGAAGACAGTGAGGTGGTGGAGAGGAAGGAAAGAGGAGGCCTGTGGGAGGGGGGCAGCCCTGGGAGTCACTGCCCCACTTGCACTATGCTGCCCTGGCCACTAAGATCCTGGTTTCCCGCCACCCTGCCCCACGCCAGGGACCACTGGGACCTCTGGGTTTCCTTGCACAATGGTGTGACCCTGGGGGTGAGGACAGGGAGTTCATCAATGGTGACGAAAACAGAGGCACAAAAGGGAGAAAACAAGAAGACAGGGGTCCAGGCTCTCAATCACCTGATGCCCCAGGAGGGAAAACACGGGAAGGAGTCCTTTGAATGAATTTCACTCACAACTCCTCTTCCCCAGCCTGATGTTACCCCCAGGGCAGGTAATGGCATGCATACACACCCCAAGTTGGGGGTCCCAGCTCAGAGCCCACCTGTGTGTGTGTGAGTGTACAGGTGTGTGTGGCAGGGTGGGAGTGGGGTCTCAGTCACTGTCTCTGGGAGTAGGAAGGTCAGCCAAGCTACTGTAATTATTCCAGGGAGCATGACTCCCCACCAGCAGAGCTAAAATCACAGCTCTCCTGCCTGCCTCCTTCCCACAGTCACTAACAACCCCAAATTTCTTTCTACAGAGGAAATACGGCTGCTCACGGTTGGTATCGCAACTGAAAAGCCACCATAGTTGGCTCTGCTGTCCCTGGCCCATCCAGAGCCTGTGCTCAGCCCATCCAAGGGCTCCTCCCAGCCTCCCCCTGCCCTATTCTAGGAACCAGCATGATCCTTTTTGACATCCAAAGTCATAAAGGGCCAGAAGCAAACCACCTTGCCCATTATACAGATGAGAACACCAAGGCCCAGAGAGCACAGGGGCTTGGCTAAAGTCACAAAGATGAGTGATGGTGGACATGCAATTGTCTTGCAGGTTGGCTTCCTGGTACCCCAGTGCAACCCCCTTCCTCCAGCAGAGCATCCTCTAAAGAGTTCCTCTGTTTCCCAAACTGGCCTGGGGGTGGAGATGGGGTAGGGGGGCCACCGGAGGTTTCCTGTCTGGGCCGAGAGTGAAAGGGCTGAAAGAGGGAATGAGGAAGAAGCAGCCAGCAGCCACAAAAGGCTTCAAAGGGTTAGGGCCTCTGCCAAATAGGCTTCACACAGTCCAGCGCAGCCTGGGCCAGGCTCCCAGCCCCGCCCCCACCGGGCAGCCAAGGCCATTCATTCTCTGTCTCCCTCCCTTGGAGCGCTAGGGGGCCAGGGCATGGGACACGGCTTCCCTGCAATCCTGGGTCATGCCACCCAAGGCGTGAGCTCTGGGAACGTGTCCTGCCTCCTGCCACAGCCCAGCCAGCAGTGGTCAAAGCAGGCCAACCCTGTCCTGCCTTTCAGTTGGGAGCAGAATTTTGACTTAGCAGTTGCTTTCCCAGTTTCAGGGCAGGAAAGAAATGTGGATCATAGATAGGGAAACTGAGGCCCAAAGAAGGACCAGAAAGTGGCCAGGACAACACTTAATATCCACTTAAGTGATGATCTGTTCGTGTAGGTCTCTGAATGCCGTGGGATGCTCCCTACAGCTGGGAGGCCCCCATTCGCAAAGGAAAGACACAGAAGAGAGAGGGGGGGAAAGACAAGCCCCTAGTCTCCCTGTTGGCAAGGGTGGCATGGAGGGGGGCATGCGGTAATGCACTCTGGGGAGATTCTGAGTGGGGGCTGCGCCTATGGTGGGCTGTGTAGGCAAGATCTGTGCTAACTGCTAGGTCTCTGTGCTTGCGAGGACAGTTCTTGCACCCTGGAATCTGTGAACCCCAAGGTCGGTGCGCCCCAGGGTCTCCGTGCCCCTCGAAATCTTTTTGCCGGGCACTTCCCATCTGGCACCGGAGCTCCCGAGTGCGCGCCCCGGGGGAGCTATGAGCGCCCGGGAATCCGTGCGCTCCAGCTCAGGGCTCCCTTTTCGGTGTCTGCTGCTGGGCACCGGGCCCCCGGGTCTGCGGGGCTGCCCAAGACGCAACTGACCTTGGCGGGCATCAGAACGATGAGCGGCAGCAACAGTAACGGGGTGAAGAACAAGATCACGAAGGACTTGAACTTGGAGACATAGCTCAGCGCCGAGGCCATCGCGTTGGGAAGGAGACGGGAGAGGCGAGTGGGGCAGTCGCAAGCTCCGCGGCCTTAAGAAGGGGCCGCAGTCCCCCGGGGGCAAGAGGCGGGGGCAACTCCGCCCCCCACGGTGGGGCCTCCGGGCTGCCCCTGGGCGGGGCCACCCCGCGGGGTCCGTGGGGCCCGCCTGCCCCCAACTCTGCCCGCCCGCCCCTCGGCGGCGGCGGGAGGCGCCTGCGGACTCCGGCGCTTCGCACCAGCACTCCAGGAGCCGCCCGGGCCCTGGCACCTCAGGACTCGTGCACCCTTTCCTGCGCTGCCGGGGACAGGGCGCGCCGCGGGGCTGCGAGGCGGGGTGTGACGGGTCATTCATTCTGCCAGCTATGGCGTGGCCCCCGTCCGCATCCGCACCTGCCCCTTCCTGGACTCTCCAGGGTCCCAGGGGAAAGTCTCCACCTGCCTCTGGGTCTCTCAGATCTATCTCCTCAATTTCTCCCTCCTTTCACAGTCTTATCTGCGCCCCTACCGCCGGCACCCCGGAGGGGTCCCTAGCTGAGACCTCCCGTGCCCTTCGTCACCCCGGCTTCCCCGCCGCGTCCACGCTGTTCTGAGCAGGGGACGCCTTTCCCCCGCTCGCCTCCTCCCAGCCCGCGCATCCAGAGCGCTCCCCGGTGATCGCAGAGGAAGCAAGGCCACTGTCCTCCGCAATCTGGGCGCCTTTCGCCCTCCAGCGGACACCCTCGGCTCCCGGCTGGCCATGCGTGCGCCGCCCGGGCGCCGGACTGAGCCCCAGAAGCCGCGGCTGCCCGTCTGACCCAGGCTATTACCATTTTACAGAGGGAAACGGAGGGGCAGAGGGAGGAGGCGACAGAGGAAGGGACTCAACCAGGGCTCCACCGAGAGGGTCGTTCATTCGGCCCACCGCCTGCGAACTACTGAGCACCTGTTGTGCTAAGCCCTTTGAGGGGGTGGAGATACAAGGATGCAGACACCACCACCTCTGTCGGTTTCTTTCTCCTCTTCTCCTCCCCTGCCATCCTGTCTTCTCATTTCTGCAGCTTGCCTTTGGGACGTCTTATCCCTCCTTGTGGGTTACCCACAGCCTGCTCCTGAGTGATTACCAACCTTGGTCTTCAACCCAGCCTGGTGCTGGAGTGCCAGATTTCCATTTCTCCAAACTTCCCCAGCCTGCATGTGCCTCAGGCCCTAAAACTCAGCACATCCTCACTCAAGTGCATGGCTCTCTTTCTGCCACCCCCACCTAAGGATACAGATTTCCCCAGATCTGTCCTGCATCTGCCTGTCTTATGTCCCTGCCCCACTATGTGATTCTCATCCATCCAACCCTAGGTTTCCCTCCTCCCTTCCTCCAGCCCCAACTGAGCACAATTTGTACCTATATATTTATTGGTGTGATTTCAATTTAATGTCTGTTTTAGTCATCACGGTGTGTCCAGGAAGCACCTTTTACTATGCCTGGTTCAGTGTGTGCACTCAAAACTTTTTCTCTGGGATGCGTGAATGAATGCAAGCACACTATTTCCCTGCAGTAACACCACGGCTTGAAAGGGGGTGTAACCTGGTTGGAGCATCGACTTGAGCTGGCCTGCCTGGGTCTATATCCTGGCCCTACCTCATCCTGTCTGTGTGCCTCAGACAAGTTGCCGTCTCTGCACTTATTTTTTCACAAATGGAGATAATAACACCAACTGATTTCAAAAGGCTACTTTGAAGATCATATGAGTTCATGCTCAAAGAGTGCCTAACATAGCTCTTGGGCATAAACAATCAGCAAGCATTTTGCAGTAAGTATATGTAAAACCCTCTGAGTGGCAAGAGCAATGGGAGAAGGCTTCACAGAGGAGGTGGCATTTGGGCTGAGACTTCAAGGCTAAGTAAGTATTTGCCAGGCAGCTGTGGAGGCTAGTCAAAATCCATCAGCGAATGAGAAAGTATTAAAATTGTTGAGAAAAATCCCAAGATACTCAGGAATACTGGAGACCAAAGTGCAAAAACAACAACAAAACTAAGTAACTGGAGCGACTGTACCAAGTTCACGGATAGGGAGACCAAACATGTAAAGGTATCCATGCCTCCCAGATTAATCTACAAATTCAATTCAATTCCTATTAAAATCACAACTGAATTTTCCTTTGATAAGCTAAGTCTAAGATTCAAACTTTTGCAAGGAGCCAAATACATTTGACACTTTCTAGAGAAGTGGTGAGAAGCTGCCTATCAGAATTCATAACTTAGGAAGTTGTAGTAATTGATGCAATCATTAACTATTGGCATGAGGATAAAAAAAGAGATCACTTAGAATAGAATAAAAGCCTAGAAATAGGCCCATCCTTATATGGAAACTTGCTATACAAGAGAGCTCACACGGATTATTCAATGCAAACTGGCAGCTGCTAGACCAATTAGTTTTTAGCCATACACATGTTTCTTTCACTAAATCTTTCACTGAAACACATAGGAAAAGAGTGATGATAATATCTAATAAATTAATAAAATTATTTCTGATTTTTTAATCATAGTCTCACTTATGCCCCAAAGCTGAACATGAGTTCAAGTCACACATGCAAATTTATTTACCAAAGATAAATAAATTTGGTGTGCTTTTTACCATACTCCTATTTACAGAAAACTTACAACTTTAGCCTATTATAGTTAATAACAAATGAAGCAATGAAAAGGAGCATATCCATTATATTTGTATTACCATCATAAAATGGAATAAGTATATTAGTGTAAATCATTTTATCTCAGTGTGGCTACTTTTAGTAACCTATCATCAGGGTGTGTTCTGTTCTAATTTCTAGTTGTTTAAAGAATATTCCTCAAAATAGGAATTCAAGCATTAAAATATCTTTCTTGAACATCAAAAAATTCTATAACTAGAAATATGTTGTTATTAGTGTATGCAAAATTAAAACTATTTTGGAATATTTAGTTGTAATGATATATATTACCTAACTGTGTGATGCAACTCTTATCCCCATCTGAATACTTAAATATAATTTTAATCTTAAAACCGAGGTAGTAAAAGTCTACCTTCCTGTACAAAGTTTTTTAATTAGGTGTGTTGCATCATTGAGCTCAGTTCCAATTTGTAGTTGTTACTTTCTGGTAGGAATTAATTGACATGTGCAATCTAAATTTTTGAAAATTTAAAATTTCAATGTGGGGGTAAATAAACAGAAATGGGGATATTGAAGAAAATAGAGATGAGAATTCTCTTGGATGCAATTTCTCAAAAAAAGAAAAAACAAGACTCCAGACATTATACAAATATAGTAACAGTTTTTCAACCCCACAAAATTCAAATAGCAGAGTTTAAAGCAGAAACCTGTTGCCATGCTGAGTCTTATAGGCCATCTCTCTAGCAAAGTCAATGAATTACAAAACCATCTAGTGAGTAAAAGCCATTTACAGAACATTCAGTCAGCCTCTAAAAGGACATCCATTAATTTTTTTATGAGAAAAGCTGAGAGTATTAATAAGGTTGTTAAATAAGCTTAACATTTTCAGCTGGTTATAATGCCCAACTTTGAAAATGCATACAAAGTAGCATTGCTCAGTGCAGACTAGGAAATCATAGATTATTCTTAAAATATGGAAGTTGATACACTGTTGATGCTAAGAAGATGTTGGATGCCAAGTTCATTTCTCCAGGTAAATATATCTCCCAGCCAGATACCACTATATGCCACAGAGGCGATAAAGAAGCAGAAGTCACCGTTTAGCAAATCTTATCAAAAGTGCTGGTACGCATGCACACCTCTTAGAATGGCTAAAATAAAAAGTATTGACCAAGTGATGGTGATGTGTAGCTACTGAATGTCTCATACTACAGTGGTGGGAAGGTGAAATCGTAGAGAGATGATGAAAAATAGTTTGACCATTTCTTATACACTCAAACATACATTTACTGTACAACTCAGCATCACACTCCTGGGTATTTACCCCAGAGAAATGAAAAGGTATGTTCACACAACAAACCTGTATGTAAATGTTCATAGCAAGTTTATTTATAAAAGCCCCAAGCTAGAACAATCCACATGTCTTTCAGTGGGTAAGCCTATAGTCTATGCATACAGTGGAATATTATTCAGCCGTAAAATATATATATATATATATTTGGGTGGATCTCAAGGGCATTATGCTCAGTGGAAAAAGCCAACCTCAAAAAGTTACATTTTTAGACCATTCTGCAAGTGGAAAAATCAGAGGGAGGCCAGTGGTTGCAGGGCTAAGGGTTGGGGAAAGATGTGACTATAAAAAGGTAACTGGAATGAGTCTCTCTGTGGCGACTGAACAGATCTATACCCTAATTGTAGCAATGGACACACGAATCTGTACAAGTGCTAATATTTCATAGAACAACACACACACACTCAAATTGTGCAAGTGAAAGTGATTAAATCCAAATAATGTCAGTAGTCGAGCTGCTAGTATCATACCAATGTTGATTTCCTATTTTGTAGAGCACACTATGACTCTGTGGAATGCTATCATGGAGGCAATCTGAACAATGATGTAGGGAAACTCTTTGTACTATTTTTGCAACTCCTTATGAGTTAAACTCTCTTAAAATAAAGAAAAACATTTGTAAATTGCAGTAAATAAATAATATACTTTAGACTGATGAATCCAATTCTTCCCAGTTCAAATTTTGTGACTACTATTGTAACAAAGAAAATGGTATTACTGATGAGATTGTGACATGCATAAGATATGCCTAGGAAGGCAGCTGGTGAAGAGATTTTCTTAGACTTTGGACATTTTCATTTGAGTCTGTTTGCACATATTCGAGCATGGAATGTAATATTTCTATGGCAAGGGCTTCTGCAACGTCTGGTCACAAGAGCAGGTGTCATGTGTTTCCATGCTTTAACTTAGAAACACTGTTTTTTTTTGTAAACAAGTTTTGTTTTCTAAAAAGTCAGGGCATGATTTGCTCAGATATTAGGTGTTGCCATTAAAAGAGAGTATTGGTCAGCTTCCCATAGGTTAGGTTTGCAACAGCAAATATTTACTCCAAGGCTGCCAGTCAGCAGGGAGCCT